TATGTAAGGACCTAATCTCAATCTGATACAAGATATTTCTGACAAATCTATTGCTAACATTCTATTAAATGGGAAAAAAATTATTTTTTTTTCTAAATCAGGAAAAAGACAAAGATGTCCATTAGAACTGTAGTAACTAGGCAAGAGAAAGAAAAAGGATATGTACAAAAAGGAAGAAATCAAATTATCATTATTTGCGATGACATGATTGTCTACAAAGAAGACCCAAAAAATTCCATAAAAGACTCCTAGTATTATTAAACAAATTCCACAGCATACCAGGATAAAAACTCAAAACATAAAAATCAATAGCATTCCTGTATACCAATAATATATACCCACTGAGAAAGAAACAGAAAAACAATATCACTCACAATAGTTGCAAGAAAAACAGAATACTCAGAAATCGACTAAACAAAGGCAGTGAAAGATATTTGTAATGAAAATTATAATACTATGAAAATGAAGATGAAAGAGGACAACAGAAAATTGAAGATTTTAAGTTTCTCATAGAAGAGAAAACCATGTGATATTTAATCTTGTGTGTCTCACATTTCACTTCACGTTATGTTCTCAAGTTGCATCCATTTACTACAAATGCTGCAAGTTTTTCTTTATTTATGGCAGAGTAGTACTCATTTATGTTTAAATACGGCAATATCTTTATCCATTCATCAGTTAATGGATATATCTGATAAATAGGAAGTAGGGAGAATTTAAAATAATTGACAAAATTACTTATTTTATTGTTTCAAAAATATTTTAATATATAAGCTAATTTGTTTCATTTATACAATTAAGTTTCTCAGTTCATTGTAAAAAAAGTTTTGTGCTATCATGTTTACTTCTTTTTTTGTAAGAATTTTTTTGTCTGTCTTGTACTCTACTTTAAAAAATGATACAGTGTATTAACTGTTGTTATCTTATTATTTTGTTATGAAATTTTGTTTTACTTTTAAAAAATAAAAAATTCAAATAAAATGGAAAGATATCCACTTTTCCTGAACAGGCATAACTAATATTGTCAAAACTGATATATAGATTTAATACAATTCCAATCAAAATATCAACACCATTTTCCATAGATCTATGAAAAATAATTCTAAAATTCATATGCAATCAGAAGATGCCCAGGATAGCAAACATAATCCTTGCAACAAGAGCAAAGCAGGAGGCATCACAATCCCAAATTTCAAGTTACATTATAAAGCTATAATAATAAAACCAGCATAATATTGGCACAAAAAGAGATGTGTTGATCAATGAAAAAGAATAGCTGATTGAGAAACAAACCTAAGCACATTCAGCCATCTGATCTCTGACAAAGGGGCCAAAAATATACACTGGAGGAAAGATAGACTCTTTAGCAAATGGTGCTGGAAAAACAGGCTATCCATATGCAGAAGATTGAAGGTAGTCCCATATCTTTCACTATGTACTAAATGGATCAAATATCTCAATATTAAAACACAAACACTTAATTTCCTGAAAAATAAAATAAGTAAAAGTCTTGAATGCATAGGCATAGGCAAGGATCTTCTGAACAGAACTTTAATTGCACAAGAGAAAAATCAAGAATCAACAAAGGGGATTATAGTAAATTAAAAAGCTTCAGCCCAGGAAAGGAAATAACCAACAGAGAAGAGAGACTACCTACAGAAGGGAAAAAATTTCCCAGCTACTATTATGACTAAGCTACTAAATTTTCCCAGCTACTAAGAGGACTAATATTCAGACTATATGAAGAATTCAGAAAAATAACATCTCTCCAAAATGAAACAAAAGCACAATCAAGATAAGGGCAACTGCAGTGAAGAGATACTGTGCTTCTCAGAATAAGAAGTACAAATGGTCAATAAATGCATTTAAAAAAACATTCACCTTCTCTACCCATTACAGAAACACAAATGAAAATATCACCGAGGTTCTGTGTTATTCTAGAAAGAATGACTATCATCGAGCCATCAAATAACATATGCTGGTGAGGCTGCATTGGAAAAGGGAGCATTTCTACATTGATGGTGGGAACGTAAACTAGTACAACTACTATTGCAATCAGTGTGGTGATTTCTCAAAAGCCTAAAAATATAAATTCCATTTGACCCAGCTAATCACCTTCTTGGTATCTTTTTGAAAGAGATAAAGACAACATATTACAGTGCTGTATGCATACCCATGCTTACAGCAGCACAACCTGTAATAGCTAAATCTTGGAAACAGCCCATATGTCAATCAACAGATGAATGGATAAAGAAAATCTGGTACATAGTTTTACATAATGCAGTACTACTCCACCATAATGAAGAATAAACTTGAGTCAGTTGTAGGAAAATGGACACACCTTGAGAAAATAAAATTAAGGGAAATATATCCAACATACAAGCTTAAATATCACATGCTTATTCTTATATGAGAAACCCAAAGTATAAATAAAAAGAAAAACAAAAGATAACAGGAAACAAGGAGACAGATCTTTGGCCAATGGGAAGAATTCCAAGAGATGGAGGGACAAGGAAGTGAGGGAAGGGGAAGGGGAAGTAAAACTAATTAGGATGTGTTATGTACATGTATCAATTTCACACAATGTATTTAAATATTATGTATTGCAAATATGTACTAACAAAAATAGAAGTACTGTAAAACAGAAGTCTTCCGCAGAAATAAGGTCTATATTTCTAACTCTACGCTATTCTGTATTATCAAATACACACACACACACACACACGCACAATCACATCCAGGTATCATTATTTTTTTATTTTCAATGTCTGTCTTTATATTTCAATACAGCTGTTTCTTCTGCTGGAATGTCCTCTCCACTCACATTAGCTGACAAATTCTACCTCATCTTTCAAGGTCCTGTTCAAGCCCATTATCACCTATAAAGCCCTCTAAGACTCTCACTGCAGAAATTAATATCTCCCTCTACCATGTTCCCTGGCACCACCATTACACTTTCAATTTATCACAGTATACCTTTATTGAGATGATTTATAGATACTTATTCCCACATTGAGTCATAAATTTCTTGGAGGCAGGAAACATATCACATTGGCAATATTCAAAATAATCACCAAACCTGTGTTCCAGCTCTGTTCAACCCGAGACACCTGATCAAGGTCCTGGGGCACTTTTGATACCTCATGTTTTAAAGAGGCCCTATCTGATTACTGAAAATATGCTTTAACAGTTCATGTTCTCAAAAATCCTGATGAAAGGAACATAAAATGATACTAAAAGGGTAAGACAGGTAAAATGTAATTATTTAATTTTTCTTGGGTCCATTTAAATGACTTCAAGAGTCTTTCACAGACTTGGAGGTTTTATTAAGGTGTCCACAAACATTCTCAGTTCAGAGATGGCCCACAATTTGTGGTTTCTTTTTACATTTCTTATAAGTAGCATAATGCATTGCTTTTTACATAATGGGAAACAGATTTATTATATTTTATGAAAAATATTCATGAAAACTCTGAGTGGGTTGTTTCTGTTTACAAAAAATAGTTAAAAATTGAAAACAAAGGAAAAATCCACCAACTATTACCACTGATAATCAAAATGAAAATTAAATTTTTGTACTACTGGAGATTGAACCAAGAGGCTATGGGTTTATTTTTTATTTTTATTTTTATTGGTCTCTGCAATTTATTTATTACTTATATTTACATAAATTATATTTATATTATTTATATATTTATTTTATTTTTATATATTTTTAATTTTTAATTGGTCTCCCCAATTTGCCTAGGCTGAGTTCAAATTTGCAGTCCTCTTATCTCAGCTCTGAAGAGTTCTGGGACTACAGGTATGCATCACCACACTTGGCTGAAATTGAAAATTCTCTAAAACAAAGCACAGCTTCTACATTACTATAAAATCATAAAATATGTTACTTTACTGACATGCTTGGAATAGGGTTACTATATTTCAAATGTACCTATCACATTACTAATGGATTTTATAAAGCCAAATGTTTGAAAAGTAATGTGAACATGTTAACAAATCCTTCCTATGGTGACATGTGAGATAAAAGACTTTGGAAGTAACAATGGGTGCAGGGTTCTTCCCACACAGTACAGTCTATTATAGTGTTAATGAATAGATCATTGTGTTGGGCATTCTGAAATTTTCCTTCTGCTTGCGAACAAAATGAGCATCTAGTTTACTCTCTGGACTTTATGCTCTGCAACAGGTCTCTATCCTCTATGCCTTCTATGGTGAGTATATACACTTTTCTTGAAGATTTGTTAATGAGGCACACAGAATGAGAAGCTAGCTTCTATGGAGAACAGAGTGGCTATCAAGTATATGCCTCCTGTACTTCTAAAATTGTGTCCACTTACTTACATTATGATTATTACTTTATTAGGATTTATTCACCAATGAAGCATTTAATTCTCTTACACTTAGGATAGCTTGTTCCCTTGGTGAATCATAGCCCTTAGGTCTAACTATTATCTTCTATCACTTCTCATCTTCCTCTTTTCTAGTGCTTGTAGAAATACATCCCACCCCCATTCTCAAGCAAGTAACTCGGTTCAGGGACCTTAGGAAACATTTGTACAAGTAAATTCTTTTAGAGATAAAGGGAAAATACTTAACACATACTAAATGTTAACCTATTTTCATATATCAGTTAAATGCATGCAGCTGTTTTTATAATATCTTCTAACAGATTGCTGCTGGATTCATAAACTGGTATAACTATTTGAAAATATTTATCAAATTTTAGATGTAAATACTCTTAAGTATCTTGAGTAAGTACTTTTAGGAAGTTGTTCTACAAATACATTTGAATAAACAGTTAAGATAATATAACATGGTGCATAAAATATATGCCCCAAACCTCTGGTTACAGGATTTAGAAAGCCAGTGACTGAAATGGAAGCCTAAATTTTCCTCTGGGTCGTTTATTACAAAGATCTATGAATAACATTTCTGTTTCTTCTCATATTTCTATCACAGTTTGGTAGTTAATATTTTCTCAGTGGATATGATACCTTTGAGTACTCCACGTTTCCAAGGGCACACATGTATAACATATGGAACTGAATTATGTGGCTCTATGGTGAGATGTGGATTACCCCACACTATTGGAAGGTCTGAAGATACCTAGAAAATAGAATTGGAAAACAAGAATTATATAATGTCATATCGAATGGTTTCCTATGTTTTTAAGATGTTATACTACATGAAATTAATGCTACCAATTCACATATACTGACATTTAATTTGCATACTTCCATTAAAATTATTCACTTTTAAATGAAAAGCAAGCCACGAGAATGTTACACAAATCAAATTCTGAGTGATCCCCGGTACCAAAAAAATAAATAAAATAAAATAAAGCAAAAGAGATTATTCTTACAGAAAAGCAATGTCTGTTTTCTATCACTACTTGAATCAAGATCAGTGATATTAAGGAAATATGAATATCTTTCCAGGTCATGTTCAATTTTCTTTATGCAATTTGATTCAATTTCAATGAATTTGTACATCAGTTTCAGCACAGTATATAAAGAGTATTTAAGCAGCATGTGACCACAACCCTGGTTAAATAAAACTTTGTTTTCTTGGTGTATATATATATATCACATCAGTCACACTATACTGTCAAACCCTGTTACACTTTGTGTGTCTATAAATTGTCCTATTATGGACAATTCTTTGAAATGAAATCATATAGTATGTAGTATTTTATCACGAGCTTTTGAAACTTAACCTACTTTTTAAAATTTATTTTTGAAAAATTTATGTTGTGAGATAGCTAAATTGAGCTAATTAATGTTTTACTTCACATAGTTATCATTTTATGGTGAGAATATTTAACATCTACACTTAGCATTTTTCAATAATATAATCCATTGTTATTAACTATAGTTATGATGTTGTAAAGTCGATCTCTTTTTGTTTGTTTGTTTGGAGACAGGGTCTCACTATGTAGTTCCGGATGTCCTTGAACTCACTATGTAACCCAGGCTGGCCTTGAGCTTGCAGAGATCCTCCTGCCTCAGCATCCTGACTACCGTGATTCCAGACATGTGCCACCCAGCTAAAATAGATCTCTTTAAATTGTTCATCCTATTTAATTGAAATTTTGTATGCTTTGACCAACACATTCCTGCTCTTCTTACCACCACCACAGACTTTGATAACCATGATTCTGATATTAACTTCATTAAGTTCAACCTTTTTAGATGCCACCTATCAATGAGATCATCATGGTATCTGCTTTCCATGTCTGCCTTTTCATCCAACATAACATGTTTCAGACTCATTCATGTTGTCATAAATGACAGTGCCTTCTTCTCTTAAGGCAGAATAGAATTAGAGTGTGTAAATTCCTTTGTAAATTCATCTGATGATGGATACTTAGGTTGATTTTATATCTTAGTTATTATGAATAAAGTTACAAGGAATACACAAGTGCAGATATCTCTGTTATATACTGATTAATTTTCCTTTTAACATATTCAGAAGTAGAATTATTGAATTATATGGTAACTCTATTTCTTAATTTTTACAGGAGCCATGACTATACCTACTTATATTCCTACAAACAGTGTATATAAGTCCCCTTTTCTTCATTACTGCCAATACTTGTTTGGAAATTTCTTTTTATAATTATCTTTAGGTATTCCGATAATGCAGGAAGTTCACAGATCACCATAAGCTTCAGTAATGTATTCTACCCTGATAGATAATCCTTTTTCATATGTTGATGGACTAAATTTGTTAGCATATAGTTGAGCTTAAGTCTATCTATAATCCTAGGCAAAACTGGTCTGTAGTTTCCTTTTCCCAGGTTACCTTTGTCTGAATTTGCTATCAACATAATAATATTGGTCACATAGTGAGGGTCAGAAAGTGTTTTCTCCTTTTTAGTGTTGGGAAGTATGCCACCTCTAGGCAGCTTAGAGTTGAAACATTTTGAATCTCTGATACTTCTTTTTTTTTTTTAATT